ACTTCAAAGCCCTGTTTACTAACGGGTGAGGCAAAAGTAATCATCCGATGTTCTTTGGCTGCATTTTTTTATAAATGAAAAATGTTGGTTCTGTTTGTGGATTTTAATGGTCAATTCATTAGAATTTTGTCCATCAAGTCGAGAAGATGATATCGCACCAGTGGCCGCCGTCAGAATTGATGACCATACGGGCCCTTTTTATGGCATTTTCCATCACTTTTGCCAGAACTTCAGGCGATAGGTTCAAGAATTCGTGTCGGATGTTGTCCATGAGTGCTTTCAGAGTCCGAGGCTTGTTTAAACAAATACGAGACTTCAAAAAATTCCACAAAAACAAGTCTGGTACGGTCAAATCGAACGATCTTGGCGGCCAGTGCAAATCGCTAAAACGAAAGATAAGACGACCCGGAAATGCCTGCGTCAAAATTTCGGGTTGTGGCTCGGGCACTGTTGGAACAAAATGTCCTACAGTCCCGGCTCATCAAATTGAGGAAGATGAAACTCGTTGATCATGGCTCTGTAGCGGTGGTCGTTCACAGTAACCGTTTCACCCGCGGTGTCCTCGAAAAAAAGGGCCCGATGATTCCCCCAGCGTAAACGGCGCACCATGCCGTAACTTTGAGCGGGTTCAGTGGCTCTTCGTGGATCACACGTGGATTTTAGATGCCCCAGAAGCGATAATTTTGGCGATTCACGTTCCTGCTGAGTTGGAAATGAGCCACATCGCTCTTGATGAGTTTCGATGAAAATTCGTCATCTTTTTGGTCGAGATTCGGGATGGCTTGAGCGTAGGTCACGCGCGTTTAGCAGTCAACAACTAACAGCTGATGTACTGTCCGCAATTTATAAGGGAACACTTCAGGTCTTTTACTAAAGTTCGTCGTAGGGACTGCGTTTTAAGGCCCAATTGCGTGGCACGTCGTCTGGTCGGTGTTCGGGGCTCCATTACGTCATCTTCGACTACCGCCGAGTAGAGTAGAGTAGTCCGAGGCTGGCCATGCCAAGGAGCATCTCGTGTTGTCCCAGTTTCTTCAAGCTTTCAGTTGGTGTCGGACGACCGGGAAATCTGCGACGCTGTACCAATACCACAGACAAATTATTGCGCAATAAAATGGAAACAATAATTACGCGTTCTTGCGGACTATAGCGATTAATGGCTTGTCGAATGCTTTCCAGCACCCATGGTCACGGGGGACTGAGGTGACTGACGTCCCGATGTCAAAGTTAACCCGGAGTACCTTCAGCTTTTTAATTATTGTCTTTGGTCCGATCTACGCAGAATGAACTAACTGTGTTTTGAAGACTTGCAGTGGTATGCTTGGGTTTAGTTTTAATTTTATTAATTATAGGATCCCAAGCAGGTGGTAGTACCCAGCCTCCTTCTCTATTGAAATTAGGATGTTTTTTAATTTCAATAGCCTTATCATCCTTGGTAGGAATCGATATTCTTTCGCGAGGATTTGTGGTCTATCAAATCTGGTGTAATGGTTGGGGCCATCTAGGATATGATCGCAAACTGCAGACTTCCCGGAACGTTGATGCTTCACGTCAGCTATGTGTTCTTTTACGCGGGTTCTAATTGATCTCTTTGTTTGCCCTATATATGAAAGACCACAATCAAAATCAAGCTTGTACACTCCTGCATCTTGTAGAGGAATATGACACTTGACGGATGGTAAGAACTGACTAATCTTCTTCGGCGGCTTGTAGAATGTTCTAATAGAAGCTCGCTTCAAGATGTAGCCAATCTTGTCTATGAAACCTCTGACAAATGGTAGTACAGCAGGCACACGCTCGACTGTGGCCGGCTTCCCTCGGTCACTGTGACGGAGGCGCGGGACCCGAAGCTTGTTGTCGTGCAGAACCTGCTTGACGTGCTGAAGCTCGGCGGCCAGGTGTTTGCTATCACAGATCCCTCGTGCTCTCTGTAACAAAGATTTGCCCACGGTAGCTAACTGTGAAGGATGATGGTGAGATTCACCATTTAGGTGTCGGTTTGTATGGGTCTTTTTTCTATACACAGTATGATCTATGGTATTGTTAGGATTTCGGATGACTAGCACATCTAGGAAAGCTAAGGAATTATTTGCCTCTAACTCCATAGTAAACTGAATTTTAGAGTTTATGGAATTAAGATGTTCTAAAAATGCAGTTACTTTGTTTGAAGGCCCACGTAGATGCCATGGAGGTTCTCAGCAGAACATTGAGTGGTGGAGCGTTATGCTTAAGGTTGCCGAAGTCTAATTCCCCGGTCGAACCTTAAAACCTATTACGCGAGCTATTAATCTAAGTGGACTGTATCTACAAAATGTTTCTACACTTATATAAACGGCAACTATAGCATGCGGTACAATGCACTCGCTCTTCCCTAAAAACGAACTATTATTTGCCAAATCGATGAAAGGAATCCTGCTTGATTAGGAGAAAAACACAAAATTGGAGCGGGTTAAAACAATTATATCAAGCAGGCAGTATTATTAGGAATATTGACTCACCGGGGTTTCTTCTATTCGGTCGAGCACTATAGCTGCGACTTCTGGAACTTCTTCTGGAACACTCCGGAGAGAGACGGTGCGCGACTATAGCTTCTGAGCTCGACTGATTCCAGGCTAAAGCGGTTCTACTAGTGGTGTGGTTCCAATGACGAGCGCGGCGGGAAGAGGCTGCGCGTCGGTCGCGCGTGCCTTATATATCTTCGGTTCCGATGATTACGTGATGTTCTAGAATCATCTTCTTTCCCCTCCCACCCCACCACCCCGATGTGTCGATAGGAGGGTATGAATGATATCGTTTTGGAAAGGGATAACCGATTTGGCAGCCTACCGTCAAATAAAATAAATACGAATGGTTTTCCGCGCAACCATTGAGAGATAGAGAAAATGGAACATTGATAGGTGGTGTTACAGTTCTTTTAGCGGGAGACTTTCGACAACCCTTACCGATAGTACCGAGAGAAACACGAGTCGATGAAATAAGGTCGTGTTTAAAGTCTTTATATTTGTGGCCTTATATGCAAAAGCTCGCTCTTAAGAAAATATGGGAGTACTCAAGTGATGGCACCGCTGGTCAGTTTGCACAGACTTTAATTCAAATAGGGGATGGAGATTATCATACAGTAGATAGTAAAGTTGTAACATCACAAAATCTGACCATAGTAGTAAAAACTCTTGCAGATCTTACCGCCAAACTTTACCCTGACATCGCTAACATTATGACAAAACCTGCAGACTGGTTATGCGAGCGTGTTATTTTGACGCTGAAAAATGACACAGCGGTCGATATTAGCGGTCTTTTGCTAAAATAATTTGGGGAAGAAATCGGCTAAAATCTATGGATTAAGTGATACAAGTTCATTATGAAGTAAATTATCCCGTCAAGTTTTTAAATACCCTTAACCTAGCAGGCCTTCCAACTCATATTCTCACCCTTAAACCGAGCGCACCAGCTATGCTAATGAGGAACTTAAAACCTCCAAAATTATGCAATGTTACCAGACTACAAATAATAACAAACAACATACAAATAACAGCTCAATAAACATGTTTTAGAAGCAAAAGTAATCACTGGATGTGCTCAGGGGGAATCAGTTTTCATAACACGTATACCTTTAATACCATCAGATTACCCCTTCGAGTCAACAGATTACAATTTCTCCTGAAAGTGTGCTGCGCTATGACCATTAATAAAGCACAACTGAAAATCGTTGGATTAGACTTAAAGGAGAGTGGCTTTTCTCAGTTTTATGAGAGTTTTTCAGAGTCAGACTGTTTTATGTGGCCTGATCGCGAGAAAGCGCGCAAATAGTCTGGTGATTTTAACACACAAAGAGTATCTCAAGTGAATATAAATTAAAATTTTATTAAAAAACTTAATCATCAGTAGTTGACCAAACGGAATATTATTATACGGAAAAATTATAGAATTCGTGTTCCAATGGTTTACCAATGACAATCATTGATTTAAATTAGTATTTTCTGATATAGCCCGTACGGATAAAGAATGGGGTTATATATGGCAGCTCATCGAGCCCGTACCGTCAACATGCACAATACAAATAACGATAACCCGCTAATAGCAGTATATCATTATTATGTTAATTAAAACGTTTAGTATATTATTCACTTAATTCGATATTTTCTATTAATGGGAAAATATTTGAATAGGATTATGTACACAAGTAGACACATTAATTTTTAAATAACATTTATAATTTGTGACCCGTACTGGCGTCACTCGGATAAAATTTAATTATTTATAAGTATAGATTAGTAAATTAAAAATAGAGGCAAAAAAAAGGATTTTTTCAATAAAACAATGTATTTCTTACATTAATTGTTTATATTAACTTAAATAACAGTCAAGAAAATATTTCAAATAGGACAGACAGGCAAGAAACTCTATAAACATTTATTTTTTACCTAATCTTTAAAAATTAATTCTGCTACTTGTACCTTTACCAAAATCGTCTGAGAACACTATGATTCCGGACATCCTATCGTTATCTTCACGATCATCGTTAGAGTCGAAGCAGCTATATCGATTTCACAATCGCTGTTCAGCCCAATGTTAATTATAAACTCTGCAATATCATTTTGATTCGTTACCTCCCTCGTCCAATAATCATTTTCCAATCTTTTCATGTCATTAAATTCTTTTTGGGAACCCACGGCCGTAATTGAGGCTTTACGCGTTAACACTTCTATTTTCTTCCAGCTGATCGACGTTCTTTTCGGCCACTCTCTGTTTTACGAAATTCCACACATATTCTATCGGATTTAGATCATAGCTGTATTGATAATCTTAATGTTTCATGGACGTAATTAGCTGGTAATTTATCTATAGCGTAATTTTTCTCTGGCTTGTACTTTTTTACTAATTCTACAAGCTCATATTTTGTCCATGAATCGTATATACAAGCTAATAGCTATAATTCTACAAGCTCATATTCTGTACATGAATCGTAATAGCACGACTTACGCGTAACCAATTTTGTATCTCACCTTTTTGGTTTGCTAGTGATGGAGGTTTACTTACTTGCACGTTGTGATACGGCGCATTGCCTATCACGACAATGCACAATAATCCATCAGCTTGGGTTCCTTCATCACTGTTTAATAGGCAAAAAAAATAGATGACGGTAATACCATTTTCTAGATACAACAAGAAGAAGAACAAAAATCGATAGACAGTTAATATTTTTTAAATGAAATGAAATTAAAGACCCCTTAGAGATAGAGAGACTCAGCAATAGGGTTCCGTTGGTCACTCCGCCGGGTAGTCGCTCGATTGCTTGCGAACATAAAAAAGGTAGCTTAGTTTGCCAGTACGTCAGAACTGTGTTTCGCACGTTCGACCCGCCGTCAATAAAACTTAATTTATGACTTCCTCGGGAGGATTACTTCAAATATTTAAATGTTATGGATAGCCATTGAAATAAGAAAAAAATACGTATGTTATTTTATCAAAATATCATTTTAATAATATTTTAGAGGTGTTGAAATCACAAGTACAAGCAATTTTAGCGACTTTTTGTAAAACATTGGGTTTAGTAAAAAATAAGATCGATACGTGTAAGTTTATTTATTATATTCCTAAACTTAATGAATTACTTGATATCCACATTGTAAAACTATTTATATTTAAAAACATAGTAAAATATTAAGTGAAACCTGATGAAGAATTCACGGATTGCACAATTGATCGCTATTTGTTAGTTACAATCTAGACTGTTATTGCATAAAAACTTGGACTTATTACAAAAAAAAACTAAATAAATAGTTATCTGTAAATTCATGTCGTAATTTACAAATTAAAAGCATGCGGCGTATTTTCAGCCAATTCGCATTGGCTACTTAAATTGTTAAATCTGAAAATATATTTCACGTTGAAATCATTTATACGTATACAATAAACAGGCGAAATCATGCAATTTTCAAAACATTAGGAAACTTGTAAATTACGTTTTATTTACAATTAATACAAAATAAAATAAATCTTAATAAATACGTTCTCAAAAACGCTGACATCGAGTGCTTGGCGAACGAATCGCAAAGATGACTGCCGACTTTAGCTAGGGTTGGCACAACATCGATTTAGGCACAATATAGATAGTGATTATTGAAAGTCATTTTTTATTAACCACTGGTTTGCAAAAAAACCTCTGTCCTGGGAACCCAACGGGACTTTTTAAACAAATTTTAATTTACAATAAATTTATTTTGTACAATTTTTGTATGAATTTTTATAGAACCAGCATAGTGGGGATCACCTCATTCCCGGGGGTTATTTTCATTTATATATTTATTTATATTATAAATAACACTTTTTGTACAATTTTTCTTTAATAAATATTTAAACTTGTTTAATGACAAATTTTGTACATTTTCTGGGATTTTGTTATAAAAACGTAAACATTGCCCCATAAATGAATCACTAATTCTATGGATTTACAAGCTTATGTTTGTTCCTATCAAAAAAGGAAAAATATGGTTTTTATAAGTGTTTAAAGTATGAACATCTTTATTCTTATGAAAGCTATTTATGTTTTTATGTACATACATTACATTTTCATAAATATATTGCGATGCCACAGTTAATATGTTTATTTCCTTAAAATTTTCTCTAAGCGCATCTTTAAAATTTAAGTTATAAATCGTCCGTACGGCTCTCTTTTGAAAAACAAATATGACTTCACTGTCAGTTGCATTACCCCATAGTAAGATTCCATAGGATATTACGCTATGAGAGTAACTAAAATAAACTAAATATTTGTTGCAAAAAAACACAAAATAAATTTCATGCTCGCAAATCTACCAAGCGCCAACCGTAAATCAAAACACTTGAATTGCTTCTTGCAACCGAAGTGGCAAAAGTAAATCGACAAGGTAAAAACTCACCGGGTGGTTTTATTTCCACAATCTGTTATAAACTGAAGAATAATTTATAAAACTTTATACCTTAAATTGAATAATTATACTCATATACCACTAAGATTATTTCTTATTTAAAGTATACAACATAATAACGATAGTGTATGCAATAGAAAATTATGTTTAGGTCCGCGTCATTCTGAGTATTTTTAAAAGTCGACTTTATCACATTTTCATACAGTATTTGCAAAAATATTACTTTAATACAAGAAAACACTAATAAGAAATTAATTTGGTATATAAATACTACCAAAAATCAATAAAATACAATACTCCCGACATATTTTATCACCTCGTTGAATCCACTCAAGCGTCACTTCACTCACTAAATTTCAACTAACAAATTTTCGGTAATTTTCGTCCAAGAGGTTGGTAGTATTGACTCAAATTTACGATTTATTTATTTGTCTTTAGTTTAAATACGTAAAAATTTAACTCTGTGCGTTTAAAATACGGTCTAAATTCAATTAATAGAAATTCATCTCTTTGCAACCACAGTTGCATAGAGCAAAGTTAAGGATTCTGTTTTGGCAACTGTGATCGCAAGAAGCAAATGAGCGGGTAGTGGCGGTGTGAGAATATTCACTATCCCCCCACGTAAAAGGCGGCAGAGGGAAACAAATCATAAGGGCAGCAGTATCTTCATAATAAAGACTAAACATAAAAAAACTGCCGTTGCCAACCCGCTTGCGAAGCGTCGCAAGGAAGTTATGTGCTTTGTGCTTTCCAATCGGCTTAATTCACTGGCGCTGCGAAGAGATGTTGCATCTTTTTGCATATTTTATAGCATCTATCACGGGGAGTGTTCTGAGGAATTGTTCGGATTAATCCCCGCCGCCAAATTTCATGAACGCACTACGCGACAAACCTCCCGACACCATCCACACCATCTGTATGCTTGGCGGTCCACCACTGTACGTTTCACTAGGAGTTTTCCTCCGCGTACGAGCTCTCTGAGGAATAATTTACCAATAGGACCTGGGGACCTTCAAAAAAAGAGCTTACTCCTTTCTAAAGGGCCAGCAACGTGCCTGCGATTTCCCTGGTGTTGCGGTTGTTCATGGGCTGCGGTAGTAACTTAACATCAAGTGACCCATATGCTCGTTTGCCCCCCTCTTCTATAAAAAAAAGGCGAAAATTCCCCCATATGAGGCAATCTATGGGGATGGCTTATTTTGTAGTTAACTTTAGTTGAAAAAACGAATATTGAGTAGCGAATACAATATTTTTGATTTATTGTTTTATGGTACATAGTCTGTCTGAATCATTAATCATAAACAAACGGATAGCTAGATATACAAATTATTTGGTACTCACCATCTTTTTTATTCGAGTGACAATCCTGTTGCCATACTCGCCCTTGCATTACTATATTGTAATGAGTGATAACGTTACAGATTTTTCTCTTCCTCAAAATACTTTATTACGTTTTATACAATTTTACGTGAGCACTATGCGTAAATCACTCTGAAGTACTTTAACAGAATGTAAATTATATAATAACAGAAAAACAACAAATAACGTATTAGTCAACAAAAACAGTATAACTAACAACGCTTTACAACAAATAATAACCAAACACATTAACAGCGACGAAACAAAAGTATTAACAAAATCAACAATAATTATGTAAAAAAACTCTCAGAACGCGTCTAGCCGATAAATTGGCGAAACCGGGATTTTTTTAAAAGTTTATGCTATGATGTTAATTTATGCCAATAGGAAGTCGGACTGAAGTAATAGCACGTACGAAAAACGTACATCGCAACATTTTTTTTTGTAGTCTCTACCGGCGGGTGTGAGTATAGATAGTGACAGTGTGCGAGCGAGAGGCAAATAGAAGCGACGCCATTTTCAGTCCCATTCTTTAACTGCACAAGTAGTAATATAAGACTTAATATTATTGTTAATACATTATATTATACATTTAACTCGAAAATAGGTTACATTAATTGATATAAACCACATTAATCTAAATAATAAGGCAATAGAAGTCGTAAAGTCGCGTGACCTTGTCGCTGACATGTGACTCGTTGGTCACAAGTGCGCGAAGAAATCATCGAAACGTGTGTTGCGATGCACTATGCCGAAGTGAGAATGAGCGCCCAATGTCATTCTCTGTTTTTAGCACATATTAATTATTGGACCGAGTGGTTACGCTTTCTGAGATTTTGTATTTTTATAAAATATTGCATAACGAAATAGTTTATAGTTTAATATCGGTTGTATGAATGCTAGAGACATGAGTAGGCGTAATTGTGTATTTATTGTTTGTCTATGTGTGAGAGCTGCAAACCGGCGACACGCGTCCTGATATTAAGACAATAGAAGGCATTTCTAGTGCCTTATTATTTAGATTTCTGTGATATAAACAAAGATTTAAAAGGGTTCAAATAAACTACCGTCATACGCGTGCTTAGTAAAATGGCCGTCCGGAATGAAGCGAACCGTAGTCGTTTCGGATTATGTGTTTTTTCTGATGTACATGGCGCATATATCGCTTTTAGTTATGATTAGCTGTACCCTGCAGTTTCGCCCGCGTATACCACGCGTCTGAGCCGCGCGATATGGACACCGCTTATAGCTATTATATATTTTCCCTCGGTTCTCAAGAACGGTTTTGTTTAGGTGTAGTCCTTAAAATGACTTAATTTCAAATCTTAACGAATAAAATGTTAAAATTCCAAGGCAATATCGCTTGCGTCTGGGAGCCGACCACGTGTCTGAGCTGAGCGCAGGTACTCATAGACCCCTCCCACACCTCGGCAACGCTCTCTCTATAGAGCATAGATTACTGTGTATATACTAGAGACTATAGACTGAGGAAAGTCGCGACGGCGGCGCGTATTGCATTTTTATACTCGTGATAAATTCGAAATGACTGTCCCATTCGAATGAATTAAAAATTATTTTACTGCTACATAATTATCTACTCTTGATGATAAAACTATTTATTTCAATAAGACTTAATAATACGATACTAAGGTAACCAAATTATGTTTCTACTGGCGATCTAATTAAATTTTAGAACACACAAGCTACTTTTTTTTTAAAGAATTAATACTACGATACTAAGGTAACCAAATTATGTTTCTACCGGCGATCTGATAAAATTTTAGAACACAAAAGCTACTTTCTTTTTAAGAATTAATACTACGATACTAAGGTACTTATGTTT